ACCCCCACCTTCCCTCCTCTGCTGGCCTGGTCACCCCTAACTGTCCTCCCTTGCAGGCTTGATTGCACCCAACTGCCCTCCCTTGCAGGCCTGGTCCCTCCCAACTACCCTCCCCTGCTGGACGTCTTGTGGTAGCCATCTTGTGTCCACATGGGGGCAGTCATCTTGTGTGTTGGAGTGATGGTCAATGTGCATATTACTCTTTTATTAGATAGGATAGACCTGGTGCATGGATGGGGGCCAGCTGGTTTGCCCTGAAGGGTGTCCTGGATCAGTGTGGGGGTGCCCTTGGGGTGTGGGGTGGCCTGATCGAGGGGCCTTATCTCTGGCAACCCAAGCAGAGGCCCTGGTATCTGGGATTTATTTATCTTCTATAATTGAAACTTTGTAGCCTTGAGTGGAGGCCTGGGCCAGCAAGGGTGTGTGGAAGCTTGGCTTCTTCCATTGCTGGGGAAACCCAAGCCTCCTGCTTTCTCCATGACAGCAGCCATCTTGGTTGGGTTAATTTGCATAGTTGATCCTGATTGGCTTGTGGGTGTGGCGAAGTGATGGATAATTTACATATTATGCTTTTATATAATAGAATTATCTTTTTTTTAATATATTTTATTGATTTTTCACAGAGTAAGAGAGAGGGATAGAAACATCGATGAGAGAGAATCATCGACCAGCTGCCTCTTGCACACCCCCTACTGGGGATGCGCCTGCAACCAAGGTACATGCCCTTGACCGGAATCGAACCCGGGACCTTTCGTTTGCAGGCCGATGCTCTATCCACTGAGCTAAACTGGTTTCGGCTAGAATTATCTTTTTAATTATTGATTTCAGAGAGGAAGGGAGAGGGAGAGAGATAGAAACATCAATGATGAGAGAGAATCATTGATTGGCTACCTCCTGCATGCCCTGCACTAGGGATGGAGCCCATAACCTGGGCCTGTGCCCTGACTGGGAATTGAATTCTGACCTGGTTCATAGGTTGATGCTCAATCACTGAGCCAAGCAAATTCTAATTTCTATGCCATCTCCTTCTCCACTCACCCTATAACCTTGGGGAGATAATGAGTTGCCTCTGTGTCTATCTGCACGAAGGGTTAATAGAAAGGAGAAGATTAATTACTTAAATTAATATTTATTGAACCAGATCCTGTGCTAGACACTCTTTCATAAGTTAACTGAGTGACAGACGCAGTATCGGGACGAGACAGACTGTCTACCCTTCCCACACAGACGAGGATCCGCACTCCGGGTAGCTACGTGGGTAATTTGGCTCAAGTTGTGAAGCTGGAAGCAGGCGTGGGCAACATTAGAAAGAAAATGGAGCATCCATGTCTTTTCCATCCGAGTGAGGCGATCTGTCACTCTCTTCCAGCCTCAGGCCTCAAGGACAGAGGCCTTGCCGTGTCCCTGGGACCAAATCTGGTCTTGTGAGCACTGCATCTCACCTCCAGGCTCAGCTCCAGGGCCGCTCCCAGTGTGTCCGTCTACAGATCAGGGCAATGACCTCCTGCGTTCCTCCTGCATGTGTGCATCTGTGCATGTGTGTGTGCATCTGTGCATGTGCATATGTGTGTGCATGTGTGTGCACTTGTGCATGTGTGCATGTGCGTGTGTGTGCATGCGTGTGCGCGCGCGCATGCATGCGTGTTAATCCTCACCCAAGGATATTTTTTCCCATTGATTTTTAGAGAGAGTGAAAGGGGGAGAAGGAGGGCAAGGGAGAAAGAGAGAGACACATTGATTGGTTGCCTCCCGAAGGTGTCCTGACCAGTCTGGAGATCAAACAGGAAACCGAGGTACATGCCCTTGACTGGGAATCAAACCCATGATCCTTTGGTCTGGTCTGTGGGCTGACACTCTAGCCAAGGAGCCACCAGCCAGGGCCTGCACCTCCATTTCTCACACCTGTCATATGTTGCTAGAGGAATGGGAAGGAATGAGTCTTCCCATTTTAGGTGAGAAAAATGGAGGTTCAAAATGACTTACCTAAGCCTATGGCTCCACTCATCAGCTAGAGGCCCCCAGGAGAGGCTGACAGCCCCTGGACCCACTTCCCTAAGGCGGGAGGGGGCGGGATTTATCGGGAACCGGCAGTGCAGCCCGCAGACCTGGGCTCTCAGCTGAGGCTTTCCGGTTGCAAAAGGACCAGCGTCGGGAAGAAAGGATGCTGTCACTCAGAGCGATCTGCGGGAGGAGGACCCGCCCCAGCACAGAGGGAACCTGGGAGCTCCGGGCGGAACTTCTCTGGCCTTCCCATCCCTGGTGCCTGGTACAGGGCAGGGACACAGGGCTGCTTAACACGTGCTGGCTAACTTGAACGTGGGACTCCGAAGGAAAGAGGCAGGGGAGGGAACCCGAGGGAGCTCAGGATTGAGAACCCAGCGGGGGGAGACAGCTAGAGAGAGTGGGTCCAGGCCTGAGACACCAGCACTGTGCTTCGGGTCTGCTGAGGCCGCAGAGTTCTCCGGGGGCGGGGCGGGCCGCCAGGCCTCGTGTGGCCCAGAGTCTGCTAGCTGAGAGGCTGAGTTATCCTTTCACTCCTGAGCATGGCCTCCCCTCCTCTCAGCTCCCCAAACCCTTCTCCACCACTGTGATGGGATAATTAGATGTGAGAGCTCAGCACAGATGATGCACCAGTTGCTTAGCAACTAATGGTTTCCATGGAGACCACAAAGCACAGCCTCCAGAGCCACCAGTGAGTAGCTTGGCAGGGCAGGGAGAAGACACAAACCCTCAGCTCCTCCAGGAACCTGCGGGGGGGGGGGGGGGAGGAGTGCCAGGGCGGGGGGGGGGAGGAGGGGGTGCCGGGGGGGGGGGGAGGGAAAGGGCGGGTTTAAAGCTGCAGGCCCTCTTAGCCCTTTAGTGCTGGCCTGAGCTCTGCTCACAGGTTCAGGTGGGGCAGGGCTCCGGAGTGTCCCACATAGCCCTCCCACATACACCCAGCTTCACCCCTTCTGCTCCTGGCTGGTGACGCCATGGAGACAGACTCTCCCAGCCCTGAGGAGAGCCCTCCTGGCCAGGGCACCCCGATTGCGGGACACCCCAATGGGAGAGCCCAGGAAGCCCTTCCCCGGGGTCCCACCTCTGGTCAGTCCCCTCCCTCCGAGCTCCTCTCAGCACAAAGCTCCTCTGGTCTGCACACGACGGCAGACCGATCTAAAAGAGGACAGCAGAGTCCGTTCTCCAGGAGGGCGGCGGGCCGGAGGCGGGAACCGGCCTGGTCTCACGGGGGCGGGGCGGGCCGGCACACGCAGTCCGGGTGTCCGGCCGCTCCTTATCGCTGCAGGCCTCCGGCCTCACCTCAGACCCACTGGACTGCGCCCGATGTTAACAAGAGGCGGCCCGCTGGCGTGCTCACTGCTGAGCACTCACCTGTGAGCCAGAGGTCACGGCTGGGTTCCTGGCCAGGGTCCATGCCCGGCTGCAGGGGGCAGCCGATCCAAGACTCTCTCTCACCACTGGTGTTCCCTCTCCCCCCCTCGCCCTTCCCCTTTGAAATCAATAAAAGAGCATTTGAGATGCCTGGAGCGGTGCACGTTAGATTGGGAGGAGCACTGTCCAAGGCCCGCCCACGCTTCACTGCGGCCTTGCTTACACCCAGGCTTTGCCCGGGTGAGGGCACAGCCTCCCCGCCCCTCGCTTTGCCGAGGACCCGGGCCTGCTCTGGGCCGGGGAAGACAGGGCCACGGCTCCGGCTCCATGGCTGGGAGGGTCCGGGACCCCGGCCGCCGCTGGATCCCGGGCAGGACACACCCCCGGCTGCTGGGTCCTCCCCGGCCAGGCGAGGGGGGAGGCAACTGCTCCACGTTGTCCCTCCTCCCACCCCCTGCCTCTAACCCCAAGGACCACTCCCCGTGAGGCCAGCCAGACACGCAGCAGCCTGCGGACTCTCCCCCCCCCCCCGCCCCCCCGCCCGCATCCCACAGGGCCCGCACCTCTGGAGTCTGTTTCCACGTCTGCAAAGGGGAGCTAGTGCCCCCCAGTGCCCAGGACCTGGGAGGACAAACGTGGGAGCCCACAGCCCCGCATCCCGGACTCCCCTCCGCTCCCCATTCCGTCTCCCTCAGCACAGGGTGGGGCAGCCAGAGGGGCATGCGTTTTCACCTTCTCCCCGGCCTGTGTCCAGTTCCCAAACGGCTCCACCGGCTGAGCACGGCGCCCCGGCTCCCCGAGCCGCCCCCCCCTACACTCCCAGCACCACTCGGCTCTGCGCTCCACAGCGGGGCCTGGGCCTGGGGCACTCAGAATCAGGGCCCCTTTTTTCAAATATATATGTTTTTTATTTCAGAAAGGAAGGAGAAGGGAGAGGGAGAGAGAAACATCCATCATGAGAGGGAACCATGGATCGGCTGCCTCCTGCACCCGGGCCTGACCTCCTGGTTCCTGGTGACACAGCCTGAGGCCCAGCCGGGCCAGCCTCGGAGCCCTGGGCGCTGCTGCCCCGGCACAGCCGCTGCCATCCTCGCAGCCGGGGCCTTGGCGCTGCTCCCCTCGGACTGAGCTGGGACCCCCTCAGAGCTCACTGCCTCCGAGGCCTCCTGCCACCAGGGAGTGGCCCCAGACCGGGCTCGACTCATGGCAGCACCCCACTGGCGCCCTCCAGGTGTGGGCCCAGAGAAGGGGGGGTTTCCACCCCTCCCCTCCCCCCACCCCCACTCCACCCCCACCCTCCCCCTCCCCCCCACTCCCCCCCACCTCCTTCCACCCCCACAACCACCCCAACCCCCCTCTTCCCCCACCCCCCTCCCCACCCCCACCCCCCGGGGCAGCTGACTAAGCCACCAAGATGCTTACTCTGGGCCTGAGGGCAGATCCCCATCCTGAAAAACCTGTCTGCCCCTATCTACCCTCCCCCCACCCGCAGGCTGGAAAGCCCAAGGGGCAGGTTGGACGAGATTCCCCTCCCGCCCCTCCCGCCCCAGGACAAAACCGCAGCCCCAGGGCGAGGCCTCACTTGCCTCCAGAAGCCCCTGCCGCCTGCATCGACCCAGCGCCCAGCAGCTATGGCGTCCCTGCTACCCAGCCGGACCTTGCCCTTGACCCTGGTCCTGATGGTTACCCTGGCCCCAGGGGCTGCAGGTCTCTGCCTTGGGGGAGGAGGGCTGGGCCTGGACGGGACAGCCCCGCGCCTTCCAGTCTCAGAAAGGGGGGCTCGCCCGGCCAGGCGGCTGGGGACTGGGATGGCGGTGCCTGGTCACTGGTCACCAGAGCCTCCGGCCACTGAGCCCAGGGCACACTCGTCCTGGCCTGGCCCAGGAGGCAGAGCGGCGGACGGCGGGCGGGGACGGGGGGGGGGGGGGGGGGGGCTGGTAGGACCAGCCTCTGCAGCCCACGCCTGCCACCTGGCGGTCGGACCAGCAAAGGTCCGTGTCCTGCAACAATGCCGGGTGGGAGAGGCGGGGGGGGGGGGGGGCAGGCCTGACAGTGGAGCCCCCCTAACTTCCCCGTCTCCCCCCCCCCCTGCAGTCTTCAACATCTCCGGCCTCTCCGGCCTGCTGGCCCCGGCGCTCACCGAGAGCCTGCTGGTTGCCTTGCCCCCCTGCCACCTCACAGGGGGCAACGCCACCCTGACGGTCCGCAGAGCCAATGACAGCACAGGTCTGCCTGGCCCTGGCACCGCCCTGCCCAGCACGCCCGTCCCCTCGCCCCCGCGGCCTCCAGAAGCCCGACCCTCCCTGTCCCCTCCCCCAGTGCTGACCCCCTCCCCGTCCCCTCCCCCAGTGCTGACCCCTCCCCGTCCCCTCCCCGCAGTGCTGACCCCCCTCCCCGTCCCCTCCCCCAGTGCTGACCCCTCCCCGTCCCCTCCCCCAGTGCTGACCCCCTCCCCGTCCCCTCCCCGCAGTGCTGACCCCTCCCCGTCCCCTCCCCCAGTGCTGACCCCCTCCCCGTCCCCTCCCCGCAGTGCTGACCCCTCCCCGTCCCCTCCCCCCAGTGCTGACCCCCTCCCCGTCCCCTCCCCGCAGTGCTGACCCTCTCCCCGTCCCCTCCTCCAGTGCTGACCCCCTCCCTGTCCCCTCCCTGCAGTGCTGACCCCTTCCCATCCCCTCCCCCAGTGCTGACCCCTCCCCGTCCCCTCCCCGCAGTGCTGACCCCCTCCCCGTCCCCTCCCTGCAGTGCTGACCCCTCCCCGTCCCCTCCCGATCCCCTCCCCCAGTGCTGACCCCTCCCCATCCCCTCCCCCCAGTGCTGACCCCTCCCCGTCCCCTCCCGATCCCCTCCCCCAGTGCTGACGCGTGGCTTCGTGGTGCCGGCCTGCCGAGGGCGAAGGGAGCTGGTGAGCGTGGTGGACAGTGGGGCTGGCTTCACCGTCACCCGGCTTAGCGCCTACCAGGTGACAGGCCTCGCACCCGGAACCAAATACTAGTAGGTGCCAGTCCGGCGGGGACCAGAGAGGGGCGCCGGCCCGCAGCGGGCGGCCGGGGGGACGCGGTCACCTGGGGGGGCACAGCTGCGGGCTCTCCGGCCAGCCCGTGCTTCTCTCCTCATCGATGTTTCTGTGTCTCCCTCTCTGAAAACAAATAATAAAAAATATTAAGAAGGAACAGCGCTCCTGGAGGCGCCCCGGGGCCGTGGGCGGCGGGCGGGCTCCCTCGTCCGCCCAGACGCCCTGAGGGTCCCTCCTCTCCTACCCAAAGCGTCTCCTACCGGGTGCGGAAGGGGGCGGCCACCGAGTCCAGCCGAGAGGTCCCCGTGTCCACCCTTCCTCGTGAGTAGCCTCCCTCAGCGCCAGCCGCAGCCCTGCCTCCCCCACCCGTCCTAGCCCCGAGCCTGGGCATTTATCATATCTGTTTATTTTTAACTGATTTGAGAGAGATTTGTTGTTCACTTACTTACGCGCTCATTGGGGATGGAGCCGCACCCTCGGCGGAATGGGCACCGCTCTGACCTGCTGAGCTGCCCTCGGGCCGGCCCTGGCTTCCGTGTGGCCCTCTGCCGCTGGGCTGAAGGCTCTCTGTGGGACGGGCCGATGCTGTGAGGCCTCCGCCGTGAGGCCGGGTTGCTCCCTGGACGGTCCCGGGTGGGTGTCTGGCCGCAGATGGCCGGGGTGCTGGGTGAGTGGACGGGCGAAAGGTCCCTGGCCGAGCCTGGAGGAGACAAGCCGAGCGCCCGGCCGGCCTGACTCCCGCCTCCCCCGCAGGACGCGAGGCGGCCTCCATCGGGCTGGGGATGGCCCGCACAGGGGGCATGGTGGTCATCACGGTGCTGCTCTCCGTCGCCATGTTCCTGCTGGTCCTGGGCCTCATCGTGGCCCTGGCACTGGGCGCCCGGAAGTAGGAGGCCACGTGGGCGGAGGGGGCTCGGCCAGGAGGTTGGCACTGGCCAGCCCTCCAGCCCAGAGCTAGGCCTTTGCTCCCGGCCGGCAAGCCAGCCTGTTCCCCGACCTGTCTGGCTCCTTGGTCACCCTCCTCCCTCTGCTCCTCCCCTTCTCCCCTTGTCTCAGGGCCCCCCCCCCCCCCCCCCCCCCCCGTCCTCTGCCTCCCCTTCGTCTGCCTCCCCTGCTCCTGTCACAGCGAGTTCCCGCCCTTTCACTTCTGAAATCCTCCAACGCTAAGTCCCCAGTGCCCCGGGCTCCTACAATGCCTGGGGCCCTGGCCGGTGTGGCTCAGGTGGCTGGGCATCCTGTCCCCTCCCGTCAGGACACAGGCCCAGGTTGTGGGCTTGATCCCTACCGGGGTGGACATGAAGCAATTGATCCAGACTTTGCTCTCACCTCTCTGTCTCTCTCTCTTTCCTTTCCTCTCTCTCTCTGAAAATCAATTAAAAATATATTTTTTTTAAAAAATAAAGCCTGGCTGGTGTGGCTCAGTGATTGAGCCACAGGCCTGGGTTGTGGGCTTGATCCCAAGTAGGAGGCAGCCGATCATGGTTCCCTTTCCTCATTGATGTTTCTCTCTCTCTACCTCCCCCCTCCTCTCTGACGTCAATAAAATGTGTTTTAAATTAATTGATTAATTAAGCCAGCCGCTGCCTCTGCTGCGTGTGTCCCTCAGTGGGGGCGCTCCCCCGCCTCCCCCCCTCCCCGCCCCCATTCCTCAGCTGCCGAAGCCAGCGGGGGGAACTCGGGGGTCAGAGTCCTCAGACCCACAGGGAGCCCCAGGCAGGGCTGGTGTGCCGCGCGGGGGCAGAGAGGCCACAGGGCCTGGGGGTGAGTGGCGTGGGCACAGCTGGCAGAGGCAGGGGAAGCCTGGGGCAAAGGGTTGGAGGCTCTGATTGGGGAAAGACAGAGGGCCCCCAGGGGAGACCAAGGCCAGGATCCTGGTGGGGGAGGGGGAGAGGGAGAAGAGGCTAGAGGGGCTCTGGAAGGAGGGAGTGGGCGTGGAGTAACCTGGTGGGCAGAGACAAGAGCGGGACGAGGTAACTGAGGGAAAGAGCATGAGGAGTCGCCCTCACTCAGTTCAAGAAAATGCCCCCTGCCCCCCCCCACCCCCCCGCACGCTCCTCGACCAGGCCCAGGGCTGGGGAGCAGCCTGCACAGAGATACCTGCCCTTGGGCTGAAGCCCGATGCTCTGTCCAGTGTGCCAAACCTGAAAAGGAAAATGGGGGCGGAGCTCAGTGTCTGGTTAAAACTGCGGTCTTCCCGCTCTGACAGCGCCCCAGGCCCTGCCCCACCCACTGGGCGGAGCTGCTGGGACCCTCAGGGTCCGAGGCTCCCGAGTTCAGTTCAGCCTTAGACCCGGAAGCAGATTTGCCACATAAAGGTTACACTTTCCTCCCTCAGAGCTGGCTGGTCCTTCTGCCACAACAGCACGACTGGGAATCGAACCGTGGCTTCCTGGTTCATAGGTGAATGCTCAACCACTGAGCAACACCGGCCGGGCCCGAAAATATAATACACTTCTCAGTTGATTTTTATAGAAATAGAGGGAGGAAGGGAGGGAGAGAGGATAATAGGGAGGGAGAAGGGAGGGAGGATAATAGGGAGGGAGGGAGGAGGGAGGGAGGATAATAGGGAGGGAAAAGGGAGGGAGGATAATAAGGAGGGAGGGAGACAGGGATTTGTTCATTCATTTATGTATCCAATGGTTGCATTACTGTATGTGCCCTGACCTTGGTGCATTGGGAGGATAGTTCAACCAACTGAGCCACTTGGCCAGGGCCAAAGCCAAATTTTAAAAAATATATACTTTATTGATTTTTTTACAGAGAGGAAGAGAGAGGGATAGAGAGTTAGAAACATCGACCAGCTGCTTCCTGCACACCCCCTATTGGGGATGTGCCCGCAACCAAGGTACATGCCCTTGACCGGAATCGAGCCTGGGACCCTTCAGTCCACAGTCCAACGCTCTATCCACTGAGCCAAACCGGTTTTGGCAAAACCAAATTTTTATAAAGGATATTATTAGGCTTGGCCGGTGTGGCTCAGGAGATAGAGCGCCGGCCTTCAGACCAAAGGGTCCCGGGTTCGATTCTAGTCAAGGGTTACAACCTCCTCCCTGGCCTGGGCCCTGGTCAAGCTCGAACGGGAGGCAACCAATCAGCGTGTTTTTCTCACGTCGATGTTTCTCTCTGTCTCTCCCCCTCCCTTTCACTCTCCCTAAAATCAGTGGGAATATATCCTCGGGGGAGGATTAACAACAACAAAAGGACTTTATTAAGAAAATGTTCTCATTTCTGATTTCCTGGTTATGTGATGTCTGCAAATACTCTTACCCGGCTCAGAAGAACACTATCCACGCGCATGGGGAAGAAAAATTAAATCTGGGTAAATATCAGTAGTGTAATTGCTGAATTACAACTTTTAGGTATACAGAAGTTTTTATAGTATTCTTAGGATTTTAAAAAAATTTTTAAATCATAAAAAACAAAATTTAAACCTGGCCAGCATGGCTCAGTGGTTGAGCATTGACCTATAAACAAAGAGGTCACAGTTCGATTCCCGGTCAGGGCGGGCGTGCGGGAGGCAGCCGATCCACGGCTCCCTCACCGATGTTTCTCTCTCTCCCTCTCCCTTCCGCTCTGAAATCAATAAGTTAAAAAAGAGCACCACTTAATCCCATTCCACCGCGTTCTTCAGGTGGGATTTGGGTAAGCCTTAAAGCCATCCCAGCCCGGAGGGCGTCCTCGGAGTGGCTCCGGGGCCGGGCGGAGCAGGCGGGAGGGCCAGAGCCGCCAATCAGCGCGGCAGCGCAGCCTCAGTCTCCCGCCCCGGCTCCCCCGAAGGTGGACGTGCGGCTGCAGCGCCCGGACCTCTGGGCCGGCCTCCACGGCCAGGTCCCGGGGCTGCTGGACTGGGACATGGGCAACGAGTGCTTCCTGGCCTGCAGCACGGCGCACCTGCCCGCGGCCGAGCAGAACCGTGAGCCTGGAGGGGTGCTGGGGCGGGTGAGGGTGGGGGTGTGTGAGGGTAGTGGTGAGGGTGGGGGGATGGGGGTTGGGGGGTAAGGGAGGGGGAGTTGGGGGGTGAGGGTGTGGTGGTGAGGGGTGAGGGAGGGGGGTTGGGGATGGGGGTAGAGGGGTGGGTGAGGGGTGAGGGAGAGGGGATTGGGGGGGGCGCGTGGGGCAGGGCCAGGCCCAGCTGTGGGCCGTCGGGCGAGCCCACGCGGCTTGGAGTTGGGGCCGAGGAGCTGGAGGCCCCGCCGGAGCGGCCCCGGTCCCGGCGCAGTGGCTTGGCCCGGCCTGCAGGCCCCTCCGCCTCCTGGGCGCACACAGGGCCGGTCACTTGTCTCCGGTTCTGGTTCTGGTTTGGCTGCGGTGATCCTCGGTCCCGCCTGAGAGGGCTCCCGGGCTGGGCGGGAACCTCAGGTGCCGGGAGGGAGGCATCAGCAGCCTCTGAGCATGGCCACCTGGTGGGCCAGGGACTGGCGTTAACTCATCAGGTCAGCGCCCACCCTGCCCTTCCGGTCCGCTTCTAGCAGTCCTTTGTTTATGGTTACCTCCATTTACATAATGCTCATTGTTTCCCTTATCACCTTGGTTTTGTTTTTGTTTTCCGTGAGGATTCTTCTTGGTCCTCTTGGTCCTCTGTGCCTTTTGGTGGCAGAGAAAGGGTGTTTTTGTTTTTGTTTTTTTTAATCTATTTTTATTGATCTCAGAGAGGAAGAGAGAGTGAGAGAAACATCAGTGATGAGAGGTAATCACTGACCCGCTGCCTCCTGCACTCCACACACTGGCCTGTGTCCTGGAGAAACAGACCTGACCACCTGGCTCACAGCTCAGGGCTGACCCCTGAGCCGCGGCCGTGGACAGCGGTCAGGCTGTGCCCTGGACCCGGTCCTCGTGTTCCTGTGCAGGCCTGCCCTCTGCGCTGCACATTCTGCACTCAGGGCTCCTACTCAGGGAGACCAGGTCGCCACCAGAGTGCTGATGGCCATCCCTGTGGTCTCGGCTTCAGAGAGCTTCAGTGAGACCCCGTTTGCCAGGCACAGCTCATGCTACTTAAGGAAGGAAACGGACAAGCCGTCATGGAGCCTACATTCTCCTGGAGCAGCAGCCGCGGGTGATGGGCTCACAGTGCCGAAGGGAAAGGACACAGTAGAAGGGCGGGGTGGGGGCCGGGGCCGGGGCCGGGACGGTGGTGGCAGCTGCAGTATAAACAGGCACCGGGGTGGGCTTCATTGGGACATGACATTTGAGCATCGAGTGGAAGGAGGTGTTTAGAGGGAATATCTCAGGCAGCGGAGTCGCCAGTCCAAACACCACCAGGAAGGCCTGTGCTTGGAGGGAGAGGAGCAGGAAGGAGGCAGATGAAGGAAGAGAGGAGGCTCACGGGTGTGGCCTGGAGACTAGCAAGAGCTGCCTTCCCCTTTAAGGACCTTGGGGTTGACTTTCAGGACTCAGAGGAATTGCCTCAAAGTCTGAGCAAAGCAATCTAATCTGGTGGAAGCTTTTCCTTTAAAACTTTTTGGCTTCTCTGTCCCCAAAATACGGATGGGACCTCTGGACCTTTTGGGGCTTTGCAAAAAGCCCCGTGGGTGGGGAAGGGGGTTGTGAGACCACATCTAAGGGCCTGGCCTGGCGCCAGCACTGACCGCCCTCTGGGGGCTGTGCATTGTTTTAGGATTTATGGCCCCGGTAACATGTGAGCAAACGAGGGCTGCAGGAGAGGCATAGGCTGTTTTCCCACCTGCGTTACACTGTTCCGCTTGAGCAGAGTTTCCTCAGGGAACCAGATGTTACAGAAAGGACTGGCCTTTAACCTTCCACTTAATTCAATGTGCTGCTGTAACTGACTTGAGATTTATTTTTTATTTATTTTAATTAAATTATCTGTGTATATATTTTAACATTGCCCCCCCTCCCATACATACCCTCCCCCCCAGAGTTTTGTGTCCATTGGTTGTACTTATATGCATGTATACAAGTCCTTCGGTTGATCTCTTATCTCCCCCAGATTTCCCTCCCCTCCCCGCTGTAATTTGACAGTCTGCTTGTTGCTTGTCTTGAGATTTTTAATAACTTTTTAACAAGGAGCTCCACAAGTTATGTAGCTGGTTTGGCATGATCTATATTCTGAAAAGATCACGGTGGCTGCTGTGTTGTGGGTACACTGTACATATAAGGAAACTAGGCCCTAGCCGTTCTGCTCAGTGGATAGAGCATTGGCCTACAGACTGCAGGGTCCCAAGTTAAATTCTGGTCAAGGACACGTACCTCAGTTGCAGGCTAGATTCCCAGCTCTGGTAGGAACCAACCGATGTGTCTCTCTCACATTGATGTTTCTCTCTGTCTCTCCCCCCACCCACCTTTCCATTCTCTAAAAATCAATGGAGTCCAGCTGATGCTGCTCAGTGGTTAAATATCTACCTATGAACCAGGAGGTCAGGGTTCAATTCTCGGTCAGGGCACATGCCCTGGTTGCAGACTCTATTCCCAGTATATTCCCATGCAAGAGGCAGCCAATTAATGATTCTCTCTCATCATTGATGTTTCTCCCTTTTTGAAATCAATACAAATACATTTTAAAAATCAATGGGAAAATGCCCGTGGGTGAGGATTAACACACACAAAAAGAAAGGAAATGAGGATCCTAGAAACCAGAGACTAGTAACTGGAAAGCTACTGTGGTGGTTCAAACCAGAGCTGATGCTAGCCTGGACGGCCAGGATGGCACTGGGGACGCGGAGAGGGAGGGAGAACGGCGGGCCTGCTGGCAGAGTGGTGTGAGGTAAGAGAGGTGAGAGGACTCCTCCCAGGCATTCGGCTAAGTAAGGGAAGGATGGGGCTGCTTTTACTGAGAAGCAGGTTCAGGAAGAAACTCGGCATGCTGTTCTCCACAGGCTGAGTGGAGACACTTTTCCATCCAAGTGGAAATGCTGAGTAAGCGGATAAACATCCGCCTGGAGCAGGGTTCTGCACGGGTGGGCTGCAGATGGCAATTCTGATCTGCTGCAGAGGCGGGGATGGAGGAGAGAGGCGATGGAGGAGAGAGGCGGAACTGGGATGAGCCCTGAGGCGAGAACTGGCAAAACCTGAGGGAGGGCCATTGGAAGCCCAGACTGGTTCCGGAAGCCCATAGGGAGGGAGTGCTTTAAGGAAGGCGTGGCCAGCGAGAGGAATGCTGCTGAGGCTGCTGAGGAGGGCTGCAGATGTGCGGATGATGTGGTTTGGGGCAGACGATGAGGTTTGGGGCAGCGGTGGAGGAGAAGCCTGATAGGTGTCAACGTGAAAACATCCCAACCTGGAAAGAGCTTTGTGAGTTTATTTGAGCCAAATTGTCGACATGTGCGGGGAAGAACCTCAGCGGACTGAGATGATGCTCCGGAGAATGGCTGTTCCATCTGTGTTCATACATTGCCATCAGAGGAGGGGCACAGGTGGGATAGACTGGAGAGGCGGGAGAAAGCAAAGCGGGAAACCTCTGGGATTGGGTAAAAAGTAAAATGATGGACACATCTTTACAGGATAGTTAAGTCAGTAATTAACATGATAACAATGCTGGGCGCCCAGCACATCAGGCTGTGCCCCAGGGGCTCCGGGAAAAGGAAGGTACAAGCTACCAGACATTTCAAGGGTGTGTTATCTGATGCAAAAAGACAGGTGGGCTCAGCTAAGGTAAAGGTTGACCTTGTCAGAGAAGATACCGGCCTAGGAGGTGACTGCCTCCATCACTGCTTTAGTTAAAGTTTCATTTCAGACCATCCTTGTGGTTCCTTTAGGTCTGAGTCGGCAAGACCGCCATGCAGGCTGCCCCTGAGCTGTCAGGTTAGCTTGAGGCCCCTTCTGTCCACGATAGCAATGAACCATGCAAACAGGAAGAAGGAAGCATGTTTCTGGCTAAAGAAACAGCCTGTAGGAGGCCTGGGATCAGGAGTGTGGTCTGTGGGAGGTGGTGAGGGTCTGGGAGGAATGCCTCCCCCCGGGCGGGGGGGGGGGTGTGCATGCAGGAGGCAGCCGGTCAATGATTCTCTCTCATCATTGATGTTTCCCTCTCTGAATCAATACAGAGATATATTTTTTTTTTTTTTTTTTTTTTTTTTTTTTTTTGTTGTTGTTGTTGTTGTTGTTGTTTTAAATATATTTTATTGATTTTTTACAGAGAGGAAAAGAGAGGGATAGAGAGTTGGAAACATCGATCAGCTGCCTCCTGCACACTCCCCACTGGGGATGTGCCCGCAACCAAGGTACATGCCCTTGACCGGAGTCGAACCTGAGACCTTTCGGTCCATAGGCCCAAGCTCCATCCACTGAGCCAAACCGGTTTGTTTTTAATTTCCTACTGTAATTCAGTCTCTGCACTAAAATAATCCCTTTCAGACCTTACAGAGGAAGCCTGCAGAGACCGCACATATGACCCAGGGTATTTCTCAGTAGCAGAGGCCTAGCCTGGACTCTGCCTCGCTCAGGCATTTTCCAAAATCAGAGATATATTTTTAAAAAGAGCAGGTAGAGCCAAGACCGGTTTGGCTCAATGGATAGAGCGTCAGCTTGGGGACTGAAGGGTCCCGGGTTCGATACCAGTCAAGGGCATGTACCTCGGTTGTGGGCATATCTCCAGTAGGGGGTGTGCAAGAGGCAGCTGATCAATGACTCTCATCAATGTTTCTAACTCTATCTCTCCCCCTTCCTCTCTGTACAAAATCAATAAAAATATATTAAAAAAAAAAAAAAGATTTAGCCTTTAAAAAAAAAAGAGCAGGTAGACAAGTCTGGGTAGAGATGTGAACGTTGTTGTCCTGGTAGCCAAGCCAGGGCACCCATCAGGTCCTTCAGGGGCGTGTGCAGTGCGAGAAGAGAGGACGCAGCGGTGCATGAGGCCCAAGACGCAGGGAAAAACTAGTAGATGGGGGTTCTCTCTCCCCACGCAGGGCTCTGACCCTCTCCTGTCCTCTTTGCCAGTTGCCAGATACAGGCTGCGTGTGGTTGAGCCCCCGCCAAGGCCGGTGAGGAAAAGCCCCGCCCCTGATGGAGATGGTGAGTGGGAGCTGGGGCGCGGGGGCCCAAGGCCCGGCTGCACCCCAACGCCGTGAGCTAAGGCGCCCAACCTGCTTCCTCCGCACAGGCCCAGACATCGAGCCCAACCTGTGGATGTGGGTGAACCCCAACATCGTGTTTCCCCCGGGAAAGCTGGAGGTCTCACAGCCCAGGACGGGGGCCGGCCCGACCAGCACACGTCCCGCCCCTCCGCTGCCCCCGGGAGAGGGAGACTGCGCCCGCTGCCCGCAGGCCGGAGTCGGGGGGCGGCCGCCCGCGTCCTCCGGGCGGTCTCCCCCTCCGGAGCAGCCCCCTGCCCCCAGCAGCTCGGAGGTGGGGGCCTAAGGCTGCGGGCGGTGGGCAAAGGGATGATGCATCGCAGAGTTCTGGTGTTCGGGGTCACACAGGGTTACGGGCTCAGGAACCAGCTGTGCCCTCGCGGGGACCAGTCCGGATGGTGCCCTGCGCCGCGGAGGAGGCCGGAGTCAGGGCGGCCCCTGCTCTGTGCCCCTCCAGCTCGCAGAAGAGGAGGCTGAGGACCAGCACGACGGCTCCTCTGTGGCGCTCCCGTCCCCTCACCAAAGGGCCCCCCTCCAGAGTCCGAGGCTCCGGCGAGCCGGCAGCCAGGAGGGGAGGCCCTGGCCGCGGCCCCCCCTCAATTACTTCCACCTCATAGCCCTGGCCCTGCGGAACAGCGCCCCCTGCGGCCTCCACGTGCAGCAGATCTACAGTTTCACCCGGTAGGTGCCTGCGCCGCCGAGGGCCAGGTCTGCCGCCCAGCCGCCCAGCCCGCGCTCCCTCCGGCCGCCTGCGCGGTCCCAGACTCACCTCCGCCGCTCACACCGAAACTCGGCTCTTCTTACTCTTCGTTCCTTTAAATATATATTTGTATTGACTCAGGGAGGAAGGGAGAGGGAGAGACACATCCACGGTGAGAGGACATTGGCTGGCTGCCTCCCGCAGCCCCCAGTGGGGATGGAGCCCATAACCTGGGCGTGTGCCCTGACCAGTCAACCCCCGAGCCACGCCGCCGGGTTCCATCTTAGTTCTTTTTTTCCACCTTTATTACTTTTTCAATTAAATTATTATCTGTGTACATACTTTAACCCCCCCCCCCCATCTTAGTTCTTTAAAACAAGTTCCCGGTGACAATGCCCACCTCCCTCTAAAGATCACCTGGCGTGAAGGCGGGGCTCCCCCCCCCCACGCTCTCCCTGCGGGCAGCCCTGCTGGCGCGGCTGGGGGGCTCCCCGGGCCTCCCCCGTGACCGCGCCTCGGCCCACCCGGCGCCCCTCAGGGAGGCGGGCGGGAGCGGGAGCCGGGCGGGCGGCGCCGCCCCGACGGCGGGGCCCACGGGGAGGGAGCGGCCCCTCACCGCCCGCCCGCAGGCAGCACTTCCCCTTCTTCCGGACGGCTCCCGAGGGCTGGAAGAACACCGTCCGCCACAACCTGTGCTTCCGGGACAGCTTCGAGAAGGTGCCGGCGGCGCGGGCGGGCTGGCCGCGGGCCTGCCTCTGGCGGCTCACCGCCGAGGGCCGCCGCCGCTTCCGGGCCGAGGCCCGCGCCCTGGCCGCCGCGCAGCGGGCCCGCATCCGCCAGTGCATGAGCCGGCCAGGTGCGCCGGGTGTGTGTGCGTGTGTGCGTGTGTGACTGTGTGTGACTGTGTGTGCGTGTGTGTGTGTGTGTGTGTGTGTGTGTGTGTGTGAGGGAGAGAGAGAGTGTGTGCGTGTGTGTGTCCTCATCCGCCAGTGCATGAGCCGGCCAGGTGCGCCGGGTGTGTGTGCGTGTGCGTGTGTGTGACTGTGTGTGCGTGTGTGAGTGTGTGTGTGACTGTGTGTGACTGTGTGTGTGTGCGTGTGCGTGTGTGTGTGTGACTGTGTGTGACTGTGTGTGTGTGTGTGTGAGTGTGTGTGAGAGAGAGTGTGCGTGTGTGTGTGAGAGTGTGCGTGTGTGTGACTGTGTGTATGAGAGAGTGTGCGTGTGTGTGTGACTGTGTGTGTGTGTGAGAGAGAGTGTGAGTGTGTGTGTGCGCGTGTGTGTGTCCTCATCCGCCAGTGCATGAGCCAGCCAGGTGCGTGACTGTGTGTGACTGTGTGTGTGTGAGAGAGAGAGTGTGCGTGTGTGTGTGTGTGTGTGAGGGGGGAGGCTGGGTGTGCAAGACAGGAAGCCCGCCACGGGAGGAAGGGGCGAGGACAGTGGTCTGGGATGGGGGGCTGCCTGAAGTGGGGCCACCCGCACGCTGGGACTCGAGGTGAAGGGAGCTGAAGGAGAAACAGGTGCCATCGGTCCTGCTCACAGCCAGCAGCCTGGCACAGGGGGCCAGTGCCGGGCCTGGCGTGAGCGGCCATGTGCCAGGGGCGCTTTCTGCCGGGCGCCAGGAGGGGTGCCCGAGGCTCTCTGACCTGGGAAGGGCCCGGCCCTGGGGCGGCACCTGAGAGGCTGCTCCGACCCCTCTCTTACAGACGAGATGGCCTCCCTCTTCGACCTGTGAGTGCGGGCAGGAGGCCGCCTGAGCCCATTAAAGTTCCAGCAGCAGCCTGCGTGTGTGTGCTCTCTGAGGGTGGGGGGCTCTGAGGCTGGGAACGGGGTGTCCCCAGAGGCGATGGGCAGTGCTCTGGTGTGCAGCAAAGGGCTCCCATACTCTTTCCTCAAAGGAAGACAATGCTTCACCCTCTTTGGAATTTTGGAGCAATTGCCATTTTTCCTTTTAAAATAAATTTTTATTGACTTCAGAGAGGAAGGAAAAGGGAAAGATGGAAACATCGATGATGAAAGAGAATCACTGATGGGCTGCCTCCTGCACAACCCCCACTGGGGATAGAGCCCGCAGCGCCCTGACCAGAATCGAACCCTGACCTGGTTCATAGGTCAACACTCAACCACTGAGCCGTGCCGGCCGGACACCGCCCCGCTTTCTGGGCGATGGCGGCAGTCTTGGGAGATGCTCTCGGGTAGCAGCCAGACTGCAAAGACCCCCATAGCACTGCCCACTGAGCAGCAGCGAGGTGAGAGGAAATACTTTCTTGGAAAAGGGAGTAGTCGGGCTCCTTTCCGTAAACGCAGGTGGAACCGGGCTGGGTGCCTGGGCCACCCGCACCACTCGGTCTCACCGCACCCTCATCAAAGCCAGGGCGCTCGGCCCGGCCTTGGCGCCGTGGACCCAACGGGCTGTGCCAGGGCATGGAGGCCGCTGCAGGGTCAGCCGGCTGCAGCCCACGTCTGAGGGGAAGAGGGGGCAAGAAGAAAAGAACGTGGTCAGCCCAGTCGGCTGGCTCAGCCATGGAGCGTTGACCAGGAGGTCATGGTTCAATTCCCGCTCAGGGCACAGGCCCAGGGCAGGCTCAATCCCCAGTGTGGGGAATGCGGGAGGCAGCAGATCCATGATTCTCTCCCATCACTGATGTTTCTCTCCCTTGCTCTCTGAAATCAATAAAAATATTTTTCAAAAGAAAGAGGAACGAGGCTCAGAGCTGTGTCTGGATGCTCAGACATTAGGACGGTGCCTGAAGGCAATGGGTTCCCCCAGGGCTGAGCTGGCTGGCCCAGCCCTCCTGCCTTCCCCTCACCGCCTGCCGAGGCCTGCGCAGACGCACGGCTCTCCCGCAGACACCCCTCCAGGGGCCTGGGCATCGCACCTCCTGGAGAGGCAGGGTGGCGCGGGCATTGAGAGCATGGATCCCTGGTCCAGGGGCCTCCCCGGACCTGCAGGCAGCTGGGGCTGAGGCGGTCCCCCCTCCGCCTCCCGCCTGCGTCAGGCCAAGCGCTGTGTCTGCTCGGAGGGACCCCCTGGAGCAGGCACTGCTCTGAGCTGGAGCGTCCGGGCGAAGAGGAGCTCACAGTGCCTGCCTGCGAGCCGGAGGGGAAATCACGGATGGAGCAGAGCTTCGTGCTGAGCCTGCACGGTGGGAGCGGAATGCGCGGTCGCTGCTCTCCTGTCCGTTGTGCCATCTCGTCAGGAAGCCTGTCCAGGAGCCTGGATGGACTCTGACGCGGGCCGGCTCCCTGGCCGCCTGCACCTCAGCATGCTGGCTGCCGGGACTGCCGCTCAGCGGCTGGCCTGCCTGCTGCACAGCATCTTCTCAGCACGTTTTCTCAGCTTTTCTGAACTTTGTATCTGCTTTTGAAAAGAATATGTACACACAGATATATGGATTTTGGAGAGGAATGGTAATGGAGAGATAGAAACATCAATGATGAGATCCTTACTGGGATGGAGCCTGCACCCGGGCCTGTGCCCTGATTGGGAACTGACCGCCACCACCTGGTTCTCAGGTTGGCACTCAACCGCCGGGCCACCCCGGCAGGCTGAACTCCGGTGTCTTCTGTATGCAAAATGGGGATGCTACAAATGCAGATTTGATTTAATTTAATCCCGTGTCCAGCATGTCAACATTGAGTACTTACAGCGGAGTAGACATCCTTGACGCACATTTGTAAAGCCGCCTGCTGGAGTATATCAGTCTTTCTGTCGTGTCTGGGTGTGGTGGTCATTGCAGTCCTGTGTAAGTCCTGTGTCATTTCCTGTCTCCTAACTCACCCCTGATCCTTTGCGGTCTGCCTCACATGGACCTGGCTGCCTGGTCTCTGAAACACGGGTTCCTGGAAAGGCAGGGCTGTGCCCCCTAGACCAGCACCCGCCTTTGAAGAAAGGCCCGGTTGCTTGATTTGCGCAGCCTGGCCACACACCACGTCCCACCCTGCCCCTCTCCTCCACCTGCCCCACCTCTGCGCCCCAGCTCCTGCGTTCACTCCAAAACCCTCAGAAGCGGGCACGTCTGGGCCAGGGGCACTTGCTGCCTGGGCGGGGGAGGGGGAGGGGCTCCGGCTGCCCGGGTCTGGGGCATTGTGGGCATTGGAAGTTAGACCCAGCAAGGTCAGGTGTCCTCACACAGGAGACAGCCTCTCACCCTGCAAACTGACCCCCTAAGTCAGGCCGTTATGACGATCGGAGCAAGCACCTAAGCAGAAGGGGTGCGCCGGTTTACAGGCACAGGATTGCCCGGACCGCGGCTGCTGTGTAAAGAAGACTGGACTGTCCGGGGTGGAGGCCTCCCGCGCTGTCGGCCATGTTGGGAAAGTCACGAGGTCACCGCCCCAGCCTGTGCTGGTGAGGCTGTGTGGGGCTGCTGCACTCAGGGACCCTACAGGCGTGTAAGCACATGTTCAGTTATTATTTCAGGGTGGCCGGTAAAAGAAAAAGTATTTTCAATAGCCATTTAAATAGATACCTCTTAAATCTAAACTGTCACCAGAAGTATGTGCCAATTTCCAACTCATGTTCTCAAACATAGTTATTCACTGGAATATTATAAATTTTTCTACCTTTACTTTTCTGTTATATTACAGCTAGAGCATTATATTGCTTCATTTATTTTATTTTTTTAAAGAATCATATTTTCCATTATCTTTTTTTTTTAATGTATTCTATTGATTTTTTACAGAGAGGAAAGGAGAGGAATAGAGAGTTAGAAACATCGATGAGAGACAAACATTGACCAGCTGCCTCCTGCATACCTCCCACTGGGGATGTGCCTGCAACCAAGGTACATGCCCCTGACCGGAATCAAACCCGGACCTTTCAGTCCGCAGGCTGACGCTCTATCCACTGAGCCACACCACTCAGGGCTCCATTATTATTATTATTATTATTATTATTTAATTATATTGTATTGATTTTTTTAAAATATATTTTTATTGATTTTTCACAGAGAGGAAGAGAGAGGGATAGAGAGTTAGAAACATTGATGTGAGAGAATCATCAATCAGCTGCCTCTTGCACACCCCCTACTGGGGATGTGCCCGCAACCAAGGTACATGCCCTTGACCGGAATCGAACCTGAGACCTTTCAGTCCGCAGGCCGACGCTCTATCCACTGAGCCAAACCGGTCCTGGCTGTATTGATTTTTTACAGAGAAGAAGAGAGAGGGATAGAGACTTAGAAACGTCGATGAGAGAGAATCATCGATCAGCTGCCTCTTGCACACCCTCCACTGGGGATGTGCCCGCAACTGAGATACATGCCCTTGACCCGAATCGAACCTGGGACCTTTCAATCTGCAGACTGACACTCTATCCACTGAGCCAAACTGGTTTCGGTAGGGATCCATTATTTTTTATTTTAAATATATTTTTATTGATTTCAGAGAGAGACAGAGATAAAAACATTAATGATGAGCAAGAATCATTGATTGACTGCCTCCTTCAGGCCCATGGCATGTGCCCTGATCTGGAATCCAACCTTGACCTCCTGGTTCATAGGTTGAGACACGCTGGCCAGACTATATTGCTGTTTTTAAAATTATATGGGAGTCGCCGAAACCGGTTTGGCTCAGCGGTAGAGCGTCGGTCTGCGGACTGAAAGGTCCTGGGTTCGATTCAGGTCAGGTGCATGTACGTTGGTTGCGGGCACATCCCCAGTAGGGGGTGTGCAAGAGGCAGCTGGTCAATATTTCTCTCTCATCGACGTTTCTTGCTCTCTATCTCTCTCCCACTCTCTAAAGAAATCAATAAAATATATTTTAAAAAATTTTTTTCTAAAAAAAAAAAAAAATTATATGTGGAGTGGTTGAGCCTCAATTGAACCCTGATAAGAGTTTAATTCCTTATCAGGGCACATGTCTGGAATGCAGGCTTAATCCCCAGTGGGGGTGTGCAGAAGGCAGCTGATCAATGTTTCTCTCTCATTTAATTTTCTGACTATCTCTTTCCCTTCCTCTCTGTAAAAAATCAATAAATATACATTTTTAAAAAGCTGTGGTACATTTATGCCATGGAATACTCTGCAGCAGTGAGAAAGAAGGGTCTCTCACCTTTGAGACAGCACGGAGGGACCTGGGAAGTCTCGCGCTAAGAGAAACAAGCCAGAAAGAACCGAACAACACAGCCCTGTGGGAAAGCCACCCAGAAAAATCTGCCTTCCCCGTTTCCAACCCAATCGAATGGTATTCTCCCGCGCTCACACCTGTCATTCGCTCATTCAACAATGACTCGTTCCGTTTTCAATGTGCCAGGCCCTTTGCCAGGTGCCAGGGACAAGGTGGAGCCCCAGAGACCCTCCCTCCCTCAGTTTTCAGCCAGAGGCGAGGGCAGGAAGCAGACACTAGCCGTGTGCGGGATGCCGAGCACATGGCAAGCGCAGGTCACTGTGGGCACTAAGACTGGAGAGGACAGAGGAGCCTCCTGAGAAAGACGTTTTAGCTGGGACCAATTTAGGGGGCCCGCAGGCTGAAGATGGGAACAGAATGGCCGAAGCCCCGGAGGCAGGGCCCGCCTCCCTGTGGTCTGTTGAGAGAATGGGGGTAGGCTGTGGCGAATAGCAGGGGAGAGAGATCCAGGCTGAGGCTGCGGAGGGAGGCGGGGACTAAGCCCTCTCAAGGACAGTGGAAAGTAATTGAAGTAACTGACATCATCCGATTTTATTTTAAAAATCATGCTTAGCCAAAACCGGTTTGGCTCAGTGGTAGAGCGTTGGTCTGCGGACTGAAAGTTCC